CTTTGAGTCCTGCTTTCAATTCCTTTGGCTCTATACCCAGAAATGGAATTGCTAGATCATATTAATTTTTGAGGAACCATCATACTATTAACCTTGGTGACTTTAACTACCACCTATATGCAGCTAACTTCCACATCTATATTCCCTGCTCCAGTCTTTATATCTCCTGAAACATATAAAGATATGGACCTATAAACAAAGGAACATGTTTTATCTTTTTATTCCCTATGTTTCCTGGTACTGGGTATATAGTTGATTCTAAATAAAGTCTTATTTAAAAGACTATGTCTTTTGAATTCTGACTGTGTCTAACAAAGAACTCCTAGGAGAGCTAAAATCCAATACTTTTCTACTAATTATTGTGTAATTAAGGATGAATCACTGTTGTAAGCTTAATGGTAGGCACCTTGCAATACACTTACCCATTTGTTTATAATGCCTATTACTGCTTTGCACATATTAGGTAGTAAGTATCTGGTTAATTAGATAATCTCAAATATTAATTAATCTGTGAGTAGCAGTGGCCCAATATTGAAACGTTTGCACAATTTTTCTTTCTAATTTCTAAATGAAAATATCAGGAAAAAAGAGGAGAAAATAAGGAATTAATATGTTATACTATATACTGCTACACACACTTTAGGATAAAAGCAAATATGTGGGCTATATACTGATGAACTTTATTCTGATCATATGACCTCAGTAAATAAGAATCTGCCAGCACATTTTTTGGAAAAGTTTAGCAAATTTATAATATCACTGAAAAGAAAAAGTTAAAAAAAAATCTTTGAGGATACCCATCATTATTATTTATGAGATGATAGCAAGAACACTGAGCAACATTTAAAATAATATTCTGAAATCACCTTGAAACTAAAATTAGGCCCAGATTTATAATGGAAAAAACCGCTACCCAACAGTAAGGTAATTGAAGGCACAACATTTAATCATTGCTTAAGACAATGAAACTCTCTTGCTAGTGAATACAGCTGTACAACTTGCAGTAACTTCTGCCAACTCAGAACCCTGAGAAAATAAGTCACTTTCTTTATAGTAAGGCGAAGAGGGGAAAAACGATATTATCCACAATGTAAAAGGAATGCAGAGTGGCAGTGGCTGAAAGTGGACCTGGCAGACTATGAACACTGGGATCACCAAGGAAACATGGAGCTATGAAATGGCAAAGGGCTGAGTGAAATGCCTGAAGCTCAGTCTATCTTTTAAAAACCAGATTCTAAGCTTTTAAAACTCCAAGCTGTTAAAAACCAAATGAAAACTCACGAGATGCAGGAAGAATTTAGTTATTTTGAAGAGTAACGCACATAGTTGAATTAAAAGAGACAACTGTAGCTTAAATGAATACAAACCTAAACATTTTTTTTCCAGTTCTTCTGATTAAAGTTTAAAACACCTCCTTCTAATTTACAAGGTTCAGTTTTCAGAGTTCCACAAATGATAGCGCTGAGCGGGATCTTAGAATTCGCCAAGTACAAATCCCTCCCTTTTGCGATGAGTCCTGGAGGGATTGAGATACCCTAGGGTAGTGTAAGACACACACTCTATGGGAAAGCTGAGGCTCCAACAAAGGCCTCTGGACCCTTGATTCAGAGGGCTTGACCACTATACAGTCCGTTCTCAGATGCTAGTCTGTGTGAGTCACAGGTGGGGAAAAGTGACTGTTAAACTGCAGAGTCCCAGGCCCCTTCTCAGAAATTTTGATTCAGGAAGTCAAGGGTGAGATGCAGGAGTACAGCCTTCAGACGGAGAGCAACTACCTACGATGCAGTATTAAGCAAATGTCAGAACATTTTCAATATCTGTCTTAAAAAAGGCAGGTATATATAATGAAAAGAAATCAAAGTCCTGAGAAATATCTGAATGTAATCAGGAGAGAGGATAATCCAGGCACTGAGCAAACTAAACTCTGAAGATGACTGAATGCATCTACTTATTAAGAGATTTACCTTGGGGCTGCAAAGTAAGTTAAAAGTGCCTGGAGTATAAAGTGTGCCTTAGTTTATCCATGTAGTAAAAAACTAGGTAAAGAGTGTGTCTAAGCTGGATCCAAGGATGGCATTTTTGCTAGTATGGTCAGACATTCACTAAAAGAGTCCCTACCACCTCCCCTTAAAAAAAAAAGCTTGCAATTACTTTCCCAACCCTAACTGCTTATGACAGTATTAGCTAATGGTTCTCAGATACTGTTTGTTACACAGGGTTTGGCGCATTCTCTACATAAATTGTTCTTTTCACATTCAGATAAAAAGCTGATGCAATAGGTCAAATTTTATTACGCTTCTTAAAAGAAAAAAGCTGGGTAACCCAGTGCAAATAATTGATTCAATGGGAAAGCCTAGTAAGAAGAAGCAAGGTCATATTTATCACGAAGTTGGCTATTTGTGATGCAGCCCACAGAACTGCTTTATTTTGTATTAAATATAGAGGAGTCTAAGAGAGCTTGTTGCATCAAAATTCATATTTATAAATAACATAAAGACATTTTTATTTGGTTCACGAAGTTTGTTTTACAAAGGACTCAAATTCAGGTTTTCTTTTTTTAAAATATATTTTATTGATTTCAGAGAGAGGAAGGGGAGGGAGAGAGAGAGAGAAACATCAATGATGAGAGTCATTGATTGGCTGCCTCCTGCACGCCCTTGCTGGGGATCAAGCCTGAAACCCAGGCGTGTGCCCTGACCGGGAATCAAACTCGACTTCCTGGATCATAGGTCCATGCTCAACTGCTGAGCCACGCCAGCCTGGCAATGTCCCACAGCTTTTTTATCCACTCATCTACTAATGGGCAGTTGGGCTGTTTCCAGATCTTGGTTATTGTAAATAATGCTGCAATGAACTTAGGGGTGCGTATATTCTTTCAAATTAGTGTTTTGGGACTCTTAGGATATATTCCCAGAAGTGAGATCACTGGGTCAAAAGGCAAGTTCCATTTTTAATTTTTTGAGGAAATTTTATATTGTTTTCCACTGTGGCTGCACCAGTCTGCATTCCCACCAACAGTGCATGAGGGTTCCCCTTTCTCCACATCCTCGCCAGCACTGGTTGATTTATTGATTTATTGATGATAGTCATTCTGACAGGTGTGAGGTAATGTCTCGTTGTGGTTTTAATTTGTATCTCTCTGGTGATTAGTGACGTTGAGCATCTTTTCATATGTCTCTTGGCCATGTGTGTGTCCTCTTTGGAGAAATGTCTACTCAGGTCCTTTGCCCATTTTTTAATTGGGTTGTCTTCCTGGTGTTGAGGTGTGTAAATTCTTTATATATTTTGGAAATTCACCCATTAGCAGTTGTATTGTTGTCAAATATGCTCTCCCATTCAGTGTGTTCCCCTTTCATTTTGATGTTTTCCATTGCTGTGCAAAAGCCATTTAGTTTAATGTAGCCCCATTTTTAAATTTTTTCCTTTCTCTTGCCTGAGATATATCGGGAAAAATATTGCTACAAGAGATGTCTGAGATTTTGACTATGTTTTCTTGGATTTTTATGGTTTCGTGACTTATATTTATATAAATCTTTTTTCCATTTTGAGTTTATTCTTGTGTATGGTGTAAGTTGGTGGTCTAGTTTCATTTTTTCCCCCCATTTATTGAAGAGACTGTCTTTACTCCATTGTATGCTCTTGCCTCCTTTGTCAAATATTAATTGACCATAAAGTCATGGGTTTATTCCTGGGCTCTCTGTTCTGTTCCACTGACGTATAGGCCTATTCTTATGCCAGTGCCAGGCTGGGTACAGCCAGCAGACCCCTCCGCAGGACCGAGCATGGCAGAGTGGCCTCGCCAGCAGTTGGAGACTGTGCAGTGCACTCCCCAGGCTGGTGCTGTAAAAATAGTGGTATCTGGGTTTCCCAGGCAGAATGAATCCCCAATGATCTTCACCACCAGATGCTATGCGAGCTCCTCTTCCTGTCTCTGTTGCGCTGGATTGGGGATCCTGTGTGGGGTTGAGCCCATACCCTGGGAGGAAGGCGTTTTACAGCAGTTATCCTTCTGGTTTCTCAGCTGCTCCACCTGGGGGCGGGGGCTATCCCTTTCCGCATCTCCACCCTTCTTACCAGTCTCTATGTGGCTTTGGAAATCCTTGGTTATAATATTTCAGTTCAGCTAGCCTTCAGTTGGTCATTCAAGTTGATTATAAGTTAGCTGTACATCCGGTTTTGGACTGGGAGCAGGGGAGCGCAGCTTCCACCTACTCTGCAGCCCTCTTGGAATGCTTCCAAAATTATAGTTGACATACAGTATTATATTAGTTTCAGGTGCACAATATAGTGATTGTACATTTATATACCTTACAAATTGTTCACCATGATAAACTTAGTACATATCTGACACCATACAGTTATTATAATATTGTTGACTATATTACATATGCTGTACATTACATCCCTGTGACTTTTTTCATAACTCTGCCACCTAATTTAGTAAATAAACCAATTTATTGGCTATTCTTCATCAAATGACCAACACTGAGAGATGCTAAACTTTTATCAAGATCAATTCCAACAACTCCTTATTACAAGAAAAGTCAGGAAGATGGAAATTATTCCTCCTTACTGTGACCCTGAGAAAATTATTTAAGAATTGTCTTACTTCCCACAGCACTATCCTCATTATATACTGGGAAGATAAAATGAGATATTTATTGAAGGTTCTTTGAGCACCTTGGGCCAGAAGAGCTACAGAAAGCCAAGGTGTTGTTATTTTCATATCCACTATTTCTTCTGCCTCTTGTTTTAGCTTCCTTGGAAAATAGAACAAAATTGGCCATCACTTTCTGCTTAATAAACCTTCATGTGGTTGAAATTGCTATTCTCAAGCAAATTGTTTCTTTTAAAGAATTGCCTGAACTATAAAATAGCAATCTAGGTCTGTGAGTCAGCATTTCACCTAGACACAAAATCAAAATAATTTAAAATAGGAAACACATAATCTTTTTGAAAGACATATACACCTCCTTGTAGAAGCTTTGAGAAAATTAGAGTTTGCAAGTTTATGAATAGTTTATTACATTTCAATAAGTGTATTATAAATCAATAAAGCAAAAGTTAAGGACAAAGAGCTCATTACCAAGCCAGTTATTGATTCTCAACTTCCAAAATAGAATAGTACAGGAAGAATATAGAGAAAATAGGATATTTTTGTGATAAAAATTTTAAGTATCTTAGGAACACTGACCTAAAGAAATGATAAAACTAAGAATTTTTAGCAGCTTCTTAAGTTTATTCAGGTTAATTTCTTTATCTTTTTGGTAATTAGAATTATTATTTGGTTTTTACTTTTCACTCTTTAAAATTTTTAAAATCATGTTGGAGGAGTTTGCAAAAACAGAGTATTACATTGTATTGATTCATTTATTCTTTCAGTTTCTTATATATCTTCCTCTCTTGCCTTTGAAAAGTCTACTTGATTAGCTGTCTATCTCTTAGCATGGGGTGTCGTAACAGAATAGTATTGACTAGGTGGCTTAAACAGAAATTTACTTTCTCACAGTTTGGGAGGTTAGCAGTTTGAGATCAAGATGGCAGCACGGTCAGTTTCTGGTACGGGTTCTCTTCCTGGCTTGTAAATGGACCCCTTCTCATTGCATCCTCATGTGGTGGGGAGACAGTGAGCAAGCTCTCTGGTGTCTCTTCTTATGAAGATGCTAATCCTGTCATGAAAGCTTCACTCTCATGACCTAATCAGCCCTAATTACTGTCAAAGGACCCCATCTCCAAATACCATCATTTTGGGGAACTTCAACATGTAAATTTTGCAGGAGGTGGTGTTAGATGAGGGAGAACAGAGACATGCACTAATAGAAAAAATTACACTGGCTTCAAATCATTAAGTAGATAATATGGAAAACAAGTGAATTTGTTTTCAAATAATTCCAGTAGAAGGCTTCCCTCTTCTTCTTTTCTTAGCAATCTAATTCAATAAGAAAGGAACTGCCTAAAAAATTATAAACTGATACTAGTTTCATGAAGCAGTAATTTTTAAAAATGAAAAACAAAAAAATGAGATATACACTGTTATGGTAAAAAACTGAGAAACAGAATACTAACCCGTTGGTATAGTAAATAAATACAACTTTTAATCCCCCATACCTTGTTTCTATGCCAATTGAAGATTCTTAAAATAATTTAAAAATACTTGGATATCCTTGAAAAGTAATAATATAATACATAGTAACATTTCTATATTACATTTTCATAAATATTAAAAAGAACAGTAAATGACGTATTCAACTGATAGTAAAACAAAATGGACAAAATTATACTTGGTTTGTGCTGGATTTTTAACAAATTTAATAGTCATTTTTTATTACATACTACATAAATTTGAGGGTATAAGAAGTATATTTTTCTTGACTGCACAAAACTCTTCATTGCAAAATACTTAAATACAGCTCTCTAAGAACTTTTCCACAATGACCGTAAAGTGAATGAAAAGCATTTCTCAAAATTTCAAGTCAAAGTGTAGGGAGAGCAGAATGAAAGGTGACTGAGGTCCAGAGTTTAGGTGACTGGGAAGGTCATTCAATCAACAGGTTGCAGAGTTATGGATGGGACCCAGGATTTTCTTGTCTAAAAATGCGGCAGATGAGTACATTCAAAAAGAAGCAGGGAAAATCTAATTATAGTCCAGATCATTTTATACCAGAAAACAACTGTAGAAACTACTTTTTAATTTTTCAAAACTCAACCAGGTGTGTGTATGGTCCATTGGTATCCAGCTTTAACACCTGCCTGTTCCCGTAAGTGCCATGTTCCACCACAACCCCAGCTTCAGCACACTTGCTGTTAGCAGCTAATTCTTTTTCACACAGAGTCACAAATTGGGAATAAAGTTCTAACCCTTCTTCTTTTCCAGAGTTAGAGTGATACTGCATGTTTCTTCCTTTTACTTTGCCCCCAAGGGTGGCTTGAGGGATGATAAGGATGTTGCCAGGTAGGTCCAATATAGAGACGTGCTTGCCATTTTCTGTTTCACTTAATTTCACATTTAGCAGTGTATTAACTGGGTAGGGAAGAAAGGGAAAAGGTTTTGAAATGAAAAACAAATGAAGGAAAAAATAAAGAAAACCAACAGTTTTCTATTCAGCAAATCTCATATATAAAACCCAGTTTTTCAGCTCATGCTTTTTACCCAAAGTCTCTATTTAGATTTTAAGAACTGCTTCACTAAGCTGAATGATCTAAGCATGAAAAACAAGGCAAATTTCATGCAGAAAATGGCATAATGCTTTAAATGTGACTTGGTAGTTAAGATCTCCTAACAATAAGTTCACCTGGAAAGGATTAAATTAACTGTATAATGAAACCTCAAAATATTGTTGCTCCAGGGGAATACAGGAGATGATTTTGCCTTCTTGTTCCTTTTTACATTTCATAAGCAAATGCCATTAGAAAAAGACCATGATAAATCCTCCTCACACTGAATCCTGCTTTATAGAAAGAATATTAACCCTGGCCAGGTAGTTCAGTTGGTTAGAGCATTGTCCCAATATGCCAAGTTGCAGGTTCGATCCATGGTCAGGGCACATGCAAGAATCAACCAATGAATGTATAAATAAGTGGAACAACAAATCAATATTTCCCTCTCTCTCATCAATCAATAAATTTTAAAAAATTTAAAAAAGAATGAATATTAAATAAAAGGTTTAGCGCATTTATTATTTTAAACTTAGTTGCTTAGAGTTCTAAGCTGAGACAAAGGTACCAGGTTCAATCCCATTATAAACCAACTGCTTTTACAATTTCATAATCTCAAAGGCACTATAAATACGGACTAATCATTTTACAAATATAACCCATGGGGGAAGAGTAAAGGTGAAAGCAAGAATCATCAGAAATTCATTGTTAAAACTGAAAAAATAAATCAAAAGGTTTAGAATTATTGGCATTATCTTCATATACATACAGAAGACATGGTATTATTATTTTTATGGCACTTATGAAATTAATACTTATAGCTAACAAGAAGTATCAAAATCACCATATTGATGTGTACCAAAAAGTCTAAACTTAGAAAACCTTTACATTAGCCATTTCAAAAACAATAAACAAAAGAAATGCCTAATGTAAATAGCCTTAGGGTCTTCCTACTTCTATAAAGTATAAGTAGCTTCAGCTTGTAAACAATAGTTCTGAGAAGACAAATGGTAAAATAAACTATATAAACCTCATACTACTGTCCAATAATTAGGCTTGAAAGGTATGCTTTCTGGTGGGGTAGTCAATGGTTTCAATTATCATAGGTTCTGTAGTAAATATTAGTAAGAATTCAGTATGACTGCCCCACTCTACAAACTGAATCAGGGAATTAACTTGGTAAAAATCTGCCAAGGTGACCATCCAAATGAATTAAGTTATGCATTAACTACTATCACTTTTCTTTTTTTTAAATCCTCACCTGAGGGTATGGTGTATTTTTTTTTAAAAAAAATTTATTTTAGAGAGGGAGAAAGAGGAAGAGGGAGAGAGAAACACTGATTAGTTGCCTCCTGTACGAGCCCCAACCGGAGATGAAACTCACAACCTAGGTATGTCCCCAGACCAGGAACTGAACCCACAGCCTTTTGGTACATGAGACAATGCTCCAACCAACTAAGCCAAGCACTATCAATTTTCACTTAACTACCATCAATTTAAAAATATCTCTAATATTCTCTATTACAAATAGGACTTTGCTACATAGCCAGCAGTCCTTATTGATTGCTTCTAGGGAAATTGTAACTCTCCAGAGTACTTCATTCCAATGGAACTCACCATCTAGCTATCCAGGGCTCAGGCTAGTAACAGAGTAGAGAGGTAATTCTGAAATAACAGGTCAGAGGGGTAAGTACAATTTATTATACTTCCCCACACCTGCCTATATAGGCTATAACTGATAATTCAATTAATGCTGTTGGTATGCAAATATCAGTATGCAGAAGTAAATATAATATAAATGCAAATTGTCAGTAAGTAGAATTAAAATGAGGTAATGAATTAATGGCACGTTGGAAACTCAAAGATCCTAAGACAGGTTATCAGTCAAGTATCTCTAATGATGTATATGGAAAGTTAAGTTTTGACAGGTCCCTGGATCTCAGTCCAATTATACTGAAGATGAATTGAGGAAGATTCTGCACATCTATTTGCCATGCTACCTCAGACTTTATGGATATAACTGACAGTTATGTTCCCAAGGGCACATGATTTGATTGGAAAGATCTGAATCCATGTAATAAGTATGAGGTGGGGTTTAAGAGAATCCCATCATACTAACGTACTTTACCTTCTGGAATAGAGTGAACTACAAGCTAATGCTATCTATAACAGATGGACTTATTTTGCTTATAACTGACATCAGCAGAATGTGATTCTTACAGTCACAGTTCTTTACTGAGAAACATGATAAAGCTTTGTGTTTGACTATCCACTAAAACAGTTAAGGCAAACCTCCTCAGTGTTTTTAATTCACAACAATCTATACATGTATTCAAAGTGAACTCAGGAAGACATTTTTGAAAGCACATAGGATTTAATTACTGTAAAACAAAATTCAGCTTGGATGTGGTTGGGTTTTTTTACCTTATGATTAAGATCCAGTTAAAATATATAAAAACAACTTTAGGATATCAATCTTAAATCACAATGACAAAAATTCTATTCCTATTATTGAAGATTTCTACTATAGTTTTTTATGGTTAATAAAGATTTAATTCAAGGCAAAATATGAACTTAAATGGACAGAATTCCCAAGCATTAGGTCCTGGTAAGTAATCCTCTATAACAGGAGCCCTCATTTCACTTTCTCTAAGCTCCCTATTATCTTCCAGATTCAAATTTTAAACCATTACAGTTACTGGCTTTCCATCCTCACCTATCATAGGTCCCTTCTTAAATCTAGTTTTCATCCACGGACAAACTGTCAAACATGTTTGATGTCTAAATATAGAATTCCCTCCAGGAGTTTTAGCCTTTAGTCTAAGCTGTTCTTCACTTGTCTATTTACCCTTGAGTTCCACTACTTAAAGCTCTTTTAGGTTAACTTCTGCTTCCACTACCCATTTGGCTAATTTATATCTTCTTAATCAAACTAATGGGTGCTGTCTACTAATAAAGAGAATATAACTTGTCCCCAATTTTAGGGATAGTGACATTATTTTAGGCTTTTTTGGGGGGATATAATTATTATATCAAATACTGTCTTGAGACAGTACTTATGTAATTATCACAAGGAATGTGCAGGGCTATGGACAATGCAGTATACTGGAAGGCTGCAGGCAGGTAAATTATTGTTCAGAGATACTTAAACATTGACTCTGCTTTCTCTGCCCCTGGAGGAAGTGTGGATGTAATGACACAGAGCTTGGTTCAAGAATCAGGAGAACCTTATAATTATATACTTTTCCTAAAAATAAATGCATAAAGGGTTAAAGTCTTCCATAATAATTATGCTAACCTGAGCTGTCCAGATTTGAAGAGGCCATATCTTGTACATCCAGTGCCACCTACATGCCCCTGTTAGGGGCTCTGGGAGATAAGAAAACTATATTAAGAAATGCAGCATCTGTTTGTCTCTATGTGGCCACCCAGCTTCCAACAAGTTTCTGTATCCTTGGCTGAATCTCAGTATGTTGTCTGTGTGTGTGTACATTCTTATAAACCATCTGAAAGGCTGCCCACGATTTAAAAGAATTCCACACCTGCTTACTTTAAACTTTGGAATAGGCAAACAGCTAAAGTCAACAACAGTACAGAGTTTAAGTCATTTACAACTTGCTAGTAAATTTAAGACTGTGCCTTTTGCCCCTTCTGGAAAAAGAAACATCAAACACGTACCCATTTTGGGAAGAAGTTCTTTTTCAGCTCCCTTGAAAAAGCACACGTAGATCACTAATCCTCTTTGAATCTATGATAAATCACCACAGTAAACTCAGGTTAGAAAGAAACTTCTATGTAGAGATAGAAAATGAATAAAATTTCACAACTGTTATAGATGTAAAGGTTAAAGGCAAAGAATTAAGTTTTACAATATTGATTTCTTAAATATGTGAAAAAACAAAATCTTTTTCAATATTCAATCTCAATTATCATTTTTTTTGAAAATTAAGTTTAAAATACAGCCAACAGCAGTGAAGACCACAAGTTTTACCTTCAAACATTTACTTCTAATCAAAATCATTAGATTATGAACTAGTTTCCTTCCCTAAGTAAGGCTGACATACTTTGAAACATTTAGTTTGCAGGGCCCCATTTATTCAATACCAAATGAATTCATATTATATTTCATATGGCTGATGACATCATCACTGTTTATTCCTCCTGATCCATTTACTTGCAGATCATGAAAATAAGGGTCTGATTTTATTTCAAAAAACTCCAAGAAACCTTCCAATTATTTCTTGTTATTGTTAATGCTTTAAACAAACATAATTATTAGGCCTTGTAAATTGCATTTATGATACCAAGTTCTACATCATGATGTTGTCTGTTACCAGGAATGCAAGCTTATTTATTTTATGTAATGACTTGGATATTTCTTTATTAGCTGGTGTAAGATAGGGACTGTATGGGAAAGAGACACTTGATAAACAGTTTGCTTTTGCTGCTGAGTAAATCATTAAATTTTTTATTCTGCAGATTAATCCTATTGAGTCCAAGAGCTACTATGAAGATTAAATGAGTTAATACTTGTAAGGTGCTTAAAACAGTGCCTGGTTCATAGTAACTGTTCATTAAATGAATATGTAAAAACAAACTTAGGGGCTGGGACACAATTTATTTTATATTTAACTCCCAAAGCACTTTACAAACTGTTTTGTATATGACAGGAACTCGATTTATTTGTTGATTGCATTTAAGTTCAACTGTATCTTGCAGGATCTATTGTCTTCTATGCAAATATAAATGCAGTTCTGCTCTCACACCTGATTTATCTGCAAAAGATGTAATTTTTAAAAAGTGCAATTTTGCTTCTGGAACAAGCAAGAGCCTCCAATGCACACACATAAGGAGCTGGCAGCTTGAATGATAGTTATCTGCACCATTGACACAGGCCTCTCCACTGGGATTGTTTTAGCATGAGCCAAAATCTCAAGCATATTCATGTTTGGAAACTTGCAATGTCAGAATTAAGTATCTGACAGACATCTATTCTTTTCACTCCTTATACTACCTCCTCATAAGGGTATTTTCTTTTAGTTTATTCCAATAATAAATCTTAAATTGTGACCTACAAGTTCCCCTCTTCAGGTAAGATCACTTGCCTTATAGCTTATTTCAGTATACAACATATCAAATATATAGAAAAGTACAGATAATTCTTACTGTAGCTTTAAAAAGTTCACCTCCCAAGAAAAAAAAATTAGTCTGTGACAGCAAAGCTCTAAATGTAGGAAACTAAAAATGCAAAATAACTTTCAAGTCTTTTGCCAATTAAAATGTTTTTAAAAAATTCCAACTTTTGATCATAGAATAGGGGAGAGGATGCTTGAGAAAGAGAATTTATTTTTTCAATACAGTGGTACCTTGGTTTTCAAACGCCTCTGTTGACGACCATTTCGGTTTACCAACGCTGTAAACCCAGAGGTAAATGCTTCGGTTTTCGAACACGCCTCAGAAGTCGAACATGCACGCAGCTTCCACTGAGGGCAAGATCCTGAGGCCCAGTTGTCAGCTGTGGATCCCTCGGTTTTCAAACGTTTCAGAACTCGAACGGTCTCCCAGAACAGATTACATTTGAAAACCGTGGCACCACTGTATCTCTTTATATTAATTTCACCATGTGTATGAGTGAAAAAGAAAGCTTTAAAATCACTTTTAAAGTTAATAAATGCAGACTGATAGTTTGGAAGGTTGCCAACGTATTTGTGATTTTGCATAAGGAGATGTGGCATGAAGATGAAGAAGCATGAAGAAATGGAAAGGATTAACGGTTTGGGATTTACTGTCCCATGAGGCAACTATAAAAACAGGTAATTCTCTGCATAAGATGGCAAATATAAAAAGAATAAAATTTCAATATATGGAAGAGAAATCAAGATCTCAGAAAAGGCCATAACAAAAATAAGAAATGAAGAAACATGAATTTTTGAGAAAGAAAAGGGGAGGGAGAAAAAATAGGAATGTTTATGCTTATAAACATTCCCAAGTTAGCAGAGGGTATAACAGATTCTGATTTAAGAAAAATCACCCACATATCATAAGTTTATGGGAAGTATTTAAAATAATGACTATAATTTTGTTAAGGAATAAATGCTAGATCTGGGACCACATTCAGCAGGTAAGATGAGTGGATGAGATGCTCCTACATGAAAGTTTCTGAGTGCCTCCAAAAGTCTTAATTATGAACTACCGTTTTTTTCCTTATTTCCTCTTACTCCAAAAATAAGTCAGGGGTCTCAAAGAACATTTGTTTTTGCCTGGGGTGGGGCCAGGCTGTCTTAAAAAAGCAAATATAAGTAGAAGGAAATCATATTGATGTGAAGGTTTCAAGTTCTTTGGAGAAAATGTGTTCCATAACAAGGCGACATTGTTATAAAACTAGTGGCCTTTGTTTCTATTTGGGAATTAGTCAAACTTTTTAAAGTTCCTTGAAAAAAAGAATTGTTTCTTGGACAATCTCATTTCTAGGTTGACACGGCTGCAGTCAACCTAAAGGGCAATCAAGCCAAAACGGACCTTGTACATTTGCAATAAATCTAACCAACTAGCCCGAACCATCCTGGTGCAGCAACGCCAAGGGCGTGGCAAGGGCGTGGCAAGGCCACGGCAACGCCAAGGCGTGGCGAGCGCGAGAGGTCCGGGACCCTCGGGTCTCAAGTCCACCGAGCGCACCAGGCGGCCGGTGAGAGGAAGTTCAAACTCCCGCGGCCCTAAGCAGGGGACAAGCTCCTCCCGGGGAACAAGCCCGAGGGGGAGGAGCCCGGCGCAGCCAGGCCTCGGGGGGCAGTTTTGGGCAGACGGGCCGGAAGTTCCCTGCCGCCCACGGAACGCGCCGGGCGCCGCGTGGCCGGCTCCGAGGCGGACGCGGGGAGACGAGTCACCGGGACAACCAGGAAAGAGCCGCCCCTGCGCGCGGGAGGACGGCGGGAACTGCGGGACGGACATTACCTCCACCCACTGGGCCGCGGAGTCCCCCTCGGCGGGGCGTACTTGCAGCCGGGCGCGCAGGCACTGCTGCAGGAGCGCCCGGG